CGCGGGGCTCAAACTCACGGACCGCGAGATCGTGACCTGGCTGAAGTCGGACGCTTAACCGACTGCGCCACCCAGGCGCCCCCACATGAAACATTTTCTAAATACCTTTGGGCAATTTGGTCAGCCCATTTCCCTTCTTGGTCAACACCACTTTTCAATAACCTGGGACTATCACAATAGGTCTATAAAATGTATCTCTCATAGATCTGTGTCAAAAAGAAGTTTATTTCATATTGAATTTACTCATTCACTAAACCATTCATTGACTGCTATATGCCATCATGCTGCTAGGCACTAGGGTCATAAAATCAGACAGTGTCTGCTTTCCAAGGGTCCTCAATGACAAGAATACAGGTAATGACAATACAGTGAGAGACTGGCTGTAACAGCAATGGATCAACAATTGTGGGGTACAGAGCCAGGGCACAAAACCCAGCCTGAAGAGAAAGGGATAGCTCCTCAGGGGAAGGTGGGAGAATGTGACACCTGGCTTGGGTTTGAATGATGAGTGGAGAGAGTCAGCCAGGTGGAGAGGTGAAAGAAGGCTATTCCAGGCATATAGTCAAATGACTCCTGAAGAGCTCAGGAACATATGGGAGCATAGCAAGATATGGGAATGCAATAGGCTCCATATGCCTTGAGTATATGGTGGTGGAGTGGAAAAGCAATGAGGCAGGAGACCAGGTATGGGACAGAAAGCAGATGCCCTTCTGGAGCTCTCCAAAGAGGTTGGAGTTGATCATCAAGACTATTGGAAGCTGTTCAAGAGTGCTAAGCATGAAATGTTTTAAAAGCATTAAGGATATTAAGAGGAACAGGATCTGTCAGATTTGCAGTTTTAGTGTGTGGTTATAGCAATCAAGGAAGGCTGTCCATCAGAATAAAATTTTTATCTATTTACTCAGATTTTGAAAATGAGTACAGAATCTATCTACTGCAATTAGAGTTATATTCCATTTAAATCTTTCTGAGGTCATTTCGGAAGAAAAGGAATACACAAGGGGACTGCTGTGTTGAAATCATAGCCCAGATTTATCAGTTTAGGATGGCACTTAATGTGTCATACATGGATGAGCTAAGTAAGATGAAGCTAACATCATTAGAAAATATTTGCATATTTTAAAACGCAGCTACAATAAAAATGTCTGAGGAAAATTGCTGGGTTTTTCCATTTCAAGTTTTCTAAGTGTGATCTAAAGCATGCCATGTAGTTTGGAGTGCTATTTCTCACCCAATCACCACATTAAGAGGACTTTGCTTCATACTATAATTACCCATTAATGCTTAATGAGTGTGATGCACAACAAGCCACTTTGTGGTGTTAGTTGCTGCTACCATTAAGTATGGCTTTTTGTATTTGGCCTGAATTGTTTCCTATCACTGCCCACAACCACTCCCTATATAGACACATGCAGATACACACACACACACACACACACACACACACACACACTGCCGCCATTTGTCAATTCAGGCTAACCTTTGAATCTGCCATCTGATGGAAATGCGATCAACAGCATTAGCAAGAGGTTGTCAAGCCTTTGCCAATTTTCTGCCTAATAAAATGTACTGATCTCTCCCTCTCTCTAAATAGACCCTCTGGTTTCATAGATAGCATTTTCACTTGCAATAAGTTTATCGCACAAATGAACTTTTGTGGAAATCAACTGTTGTAACACTGCAGCAGTTTGCTGAGGAAAAAAAACAAAAACAAAAACAAAAAACAGAAGTTGCTTTCAAGAGAATTTGGATAATAATTTTAAAAAACAGCAACAAGCAGCTTTCATACAGTTTTTAAGAGGAGTATTTCTGTAACCCAATTTCTAAGGAAAATAGCTTGTATTGACTTGGTTGTCCAATTATTCTGAGTCTACCCTAGTCTCTGCATGTTAGTTGGGTTTCTGCAGTTTTGATATTCAAACATATGATCCTGTGACTAGTCAGAAGGCCAACCTGTGATAATAATAGAGAGGGAAGAAAGGAGATGGTATTGAGTTCGGGATTAAGGTACAAACATGGGCACTCATCATGGCTTACCTTTTTGGTTGGTTAACCAATTCAATTTTGTAAGCCTTTCTTCTATTACCTATAAAAAGGAGTGATATTGTCCTGCCTGCCTGAACTGCTTTTACTCACATTTCTAATGCAAAATATGTGGGTTTTGAGGAGGGTGTATCCCATAAAAACCAATTTTCCAACTCTCCAGATACCAACGGGATGTCCTACAATTCAATTCAATTCAGTTTTCACACTACTCAGAGTTAGTGCAGACCCCACAGGTTAAGGGCTTAATCCCACAAGACTATCCCATTTCAAATGTCTATTGTCTGTCACCTATGCTTCTGCCCAATCAGCTATAAATTGAAGGTTTCCATGACTCTTCAGTTTTGATAATTTGCTAGAATGGCTTTTAGAAATCAGGAAAATGGTTTGCTTACTATTACCAGTTTAGTATAAGATGTAACTCAGGAACAGACAAATGAAAGTGATGCATGGGACAAGGTATGGGGGGAGGGGCATGGAAGCTCCATGTCCTCTCTGGGAGTGCCACTGGCCTTGTTCCTCAATGTGTTCACCAACTTGGAAGCTTTCCAAATTTTGTTTAAGTTTTATACAGTTCAATCCTCAGCCCTGGTCCCCTTCCTTGAAGGTTAGTATGTGGGGCTGGAAATTCCAACCCTTTAATCACCTGGTCTTTCACCTAGAAGCCCCTCCCAAAGTCACTTCATTAGCATAAACTCAGGTGTTATGGGAGAAGCAGGCTTAATGAATTACAAAAGACACTCCTATCACTCAGGAAATACCAAGTGCTTTTAGGAGCTCTGTGTATGGAACAAAGGACAAAGACTGCTTATATTTTTGTATTATGCCACACTTCCACACAGGACTATAGAGAACATTAAATAGGCACTTTATGGAGAGAATTTTACAATTCTTAAAATGACAGATGGTGCAAATATTTCGAATATTTTCAGTAATGAAATAATACATGCTATGTTATCAAGTTTCCTGACGCTAATGAGCAGAAGGCTTTGGTTTTAATGGTTTTAATTATTCTGATCTGGCATTTATTTCCCTACTGTTCTTTTGTCATTTGGGAGAAAAGAGTCCCAAATATTATCTTGATACTTTAACTTATTAATGTGTAAGGTAAATTATGCTAGTCGAATTATTATTGCCAGACAAATAGTTATCAATGAATTCCATCAATCAATAGCCTGCCAAAGACCAACCACCTTAATGACCTTGATACCAATGTGAAAATTAATAAAAGGAAATCTCATTTATAATGGAATGGGGAGGCTAGCAGGGGGAAGCTATCATTCCCTACCATTCTTTATCAATTGCAGATCCAATAGAAAGAGACCCACCTTGCAGGTGTATAAATCTTGCTTTACTGTCCCAGCAGGAGGAAGACAGGCTTCCCTCCACCCCGGCAACAGCCCAGCCAATGAGAGACTGTCACAATTCAATGCATAAGAAGTCACTATACTTCCAACTCCCAGATTACTCCAGTGAACTGTTTATAACAGCCTTCCCAATGTCCCCCTTTCTCTATTTAAGAGCAATCTTCTTTGTTCTTTGAACTTGGCTATGGTTTTGCCCTAGCTTGCTTGCCATAGCTTGCAATTTTCTGCTATTCCTGAATAAACTGATTTTTCATGTTTTTTTTTTTAAGGTTAACACTAGAGATTGATGATCCAATCATGGCAGTGGTTAATATGTTTGGTTATAAAGAATTAAAAACGTGAACACTTCTGCAACTGAACCATATACCTTACCTTTCAGTTTTATGGGGGAAATTTGGCCAAATATTCAGATATTTTGTCAAATATTCAGCAATTTGAACACATTTAGGGTATTTTTATTGATACATTTTTGGTTTGTTTAGGGTGTACAACCACTTCTGGTTCTGACATAGTATATACAACATTACAGAAAGCTAGTATAAAGTCATTTCCTTTCTGCCTTATTACAAAATTCCTAACACTTTTGCCTGTTTTATTTTAGGTGTCTTGTGTGTTTCTTTGTCTGGGAATCCACACGCTCCACTAAGGATTATAAAGTTTTGTAGTGCTTCATGTAACAGCTGTTCTAACTGAGAGACATATGTTTTTTTGGTTATAGATGTAAGAATTCTTTTTTTTTTCTTTTGGGATGACTTTTTATACCTCCATTTTCTATTAGACCTACCAAGACCCTGATATAAATGTCATGATGCAGGCACTCTTCATATTTGCCTATAATCTCCCATTGAATGGATTTCTGTCTGAGATTGTACTATTTTTCTGTCACTTAAGGTTACCCAATGACCTAAGGTAACCATAGTAGCAAAGAATCCACATTCTGTCTCTCCTGACATTCCAGTAGGCCCCAATAATCACTAACTCATTTTTCTCCCCCACTAGTCATGCTCATCTTCCTTTTATTTTTTTGGCCCTTTATGAGGGAAGTTTGCATTTTCTTGATACATTTATGTTCTCCATTTTAATTTTCCAGGGAAATGTAGTGTTGCACCCTGGGTATCTTTGCTTGGCCTTTTCTGGTTCTGGACTTTTCTGCTGAAGGAAACCCCTAATTGGAGTTCCTGACTGAGTGGACCACCTATCAGACTGCCTCCCATGCTCTGCAGGAAGGTCTAGAAGAAATAGATGTTATGCCCAGAATTCGTGATCCCCAAAGACCACTAGGGAGCCGAGTCCGATGCAAAAGCAAAGAGCCTTTATTCGAGCTAGCTTGAGCTCAATCCCCTACCTGCACCGACGCAGCGGTGAGATACCAGGCAAAGAGAGCGAGTTTCAAAAGGACAAAGGTTTTATTGGGGCCTGGGGGCAGTTGGTGAGGTAATGGCTATGGCCTCAGCCGATTGGCTGGGGAAGGGTCCTGGGGAAGGGTCCGAGTCCTGTTAGGCAGGTGAGGGGGGGGTTTACTCAAGGGGAGGTGTGGTCAAGGTGAAGGACACAGAACAAGATGGAGTCTGCCGGCGTAGGCCCGCCCTTTCATAGACAAGGACTGGGAATCAGAAACACAGAAAATACAAATTCTGACCTTGTTAGTTCTACCAGCTGTGACACTATGAGTGAGTCATTTATCCTGTGTAAGCATCAGCCAACTAATGTGTAAAATGAAAGGTGGATTTTAAGGGCTTTTCAGACTCTTCTCTCAGATGGGCTAAATGCTGAGGAAAATTCTATGTTCCAGAGAAGTGTTTGCTAAGGGCCTGCTGAGATTACTGGCAACTGTCTTTACTTGTCACACCAGGAATGTCTGAGTAAGAAAAGTCCACACAGTTAAGGGTCTGAGCATTAACCTTCTCATACAAGTTGGCCTCAAGCTGTGCTTGATTTCCATAGACTGACAATTGTTTAGATCAAAAACAACTGTTCTGTAATTCACAGCCTTGTCAAACTCAACCTGAATGCAATTTTATAAAAATATTTCAGCCAATTATGATTAAGTAGTAGAAGGAACTCATAAATAGACCCAGGATAGTACATACGTTTCAGATGCAAAATTAATGAAATATTTCCTTCAATGAAGAACTGGATTATAAATGTTAAACAAGAGAAGGGTAGCATTTTGAAATAATAGAATCTTTAAATAAAAAAGCTACATTAATAGAAAAAAAGGAACAATTTATTAATCATAAAGGCAAATTATGAGTTAGAAAAATTCATTTATTCAAGGAATTTTATGTTAATATCAAAGGTTGGATATATATCTGAAAGTTTTATTCGTAAAAGTATTTTTCTAATTTGGGATTGAGAACTGCTCCCTGAACCTCTCACCCCTCCTTTCTACTTCTCATCTCCAAAGATGTCTAGATTGAATGTAAGTTCGTCAGCTACAAAGTATTTATAAACCACAAACCTATTGAGACTCATTTTTAAAACTTATTTCTGAAAAGAGCCATGTAGTAGAAAGTCTAAGAGGCCATATATCTCACATGTTGGTATATCTAGATAAGAAAATGGTGTTACCATGGAGCCCAGCTGGCAACATTAAATCTAAAAACATAACTACAAGTCTTTCCCTGATCAACAGCAGAGGCATTTTTCACTTAAAAACAAATAATCAAAGACAATTTTCAGATACACAGATTCCATTAAGCCTGAATCTATACCAGCGGTTTTCAAGCAATAGCAAATTTGCCCTTCAGGGGACATTTGGCACTATCTGGAGATATTTTCTTTGTTACAGGTCGGGGGTAGAAGAAGCTATTGGAATCTAATGGATAGAGGTTAAACATTCTATAATTCACAGGGAATTTTCTGTCAATAGGTCAATAGTCAAAATGTTAATAGTGATGTTCTTAAGAAACCCTGATCTGTACATTGCTCATGACAGATGGTAAGCATCCAGATGTTTGGAAGGTAATTAAAAATTTGAAAGAATACCAGTATTAGGATGTTAAAATCTGATGTCATGATGTGAACATCTACTCTGATCTCAGAGATAAATTTTTACCTTTTAACTTTTCTTGATGAAGATCCACAATTCTTTTGGGTTCTATGCCAATAAGATTCAAAATGAAAACCTAATCAGAACACCTCTTTTCCTTTATGTCCTGAAACAATTCAGATTAAATCAATTATATGCAAAAGTTCCATTCAGAACATTTCAGCCTGGGGCACCTGAGTGGCTCAGTATGTTAAGCTGCCAACTTCAGCTCAGGTCATGATCCTGGTTTGTGAGTTTGAGCCCCACATCAGGCTCTGTGCTGACAGCTCAGAGCCTGGAGACTGCTCCAGATTCTGTGTCTCTCTGCCCTTCCTTCACTTGTGCTCTGTCTCTCAAAAATAAATAAATGTTAAAAATGTAAAAAAAAACAAAAAACACTTGGATCAGCTATTCTGTGTCACTAATTACTGTTATTCTTATAATAACTCTCAAAATACAGACTCTGCTAGTCACCAATCCTCTACAATAATCTCACCACATTTATCTGGATTTTATACTAAGATGAAGTATCTATCTATCTTGGTTACACACAATTTTTTAAAATATTTGAAAAAATTTTTACATTTATTTTATTTTTTTCAGAGAGGGAATGAGAGAGAGAGGGAGAGAGAGAGAGAGAGAGAGAGAGAGAGAGAGAGAGAGAATGCAAGCCAGGGAGGGGCAGAGGGAGAGAAACCCAACAATATAAATCATAGACCTTAGTTAATAGTATTGCATTATTGTAGTAATTATATTATTTCAGTATTTCATTGGCTTATCAATTGTAACAAATGTGCTACTCCAGTGAAAGATGTCAGTAACATGAATCTAGAGAGCTTGGAGAAGGGGATATATGGAGACTCTGTTCTATCTACTCAATTTTTCTGTAAGCCTAAAACTTCTCTTAAGTACAAAGTGTATTAATGTATTTAAAAAATGAATCTTAAACTAATTAATTAATTAGTTAAGAATCTTGACCACTACTAGTATCATCCATATAAAAAATAATTTCCTTGTTAATTTATATTTAAAGGTGGAAAGCAAAACAAAATTGATATAAAATTAGAAGATAAAATATATCTCCACAACCTTGAGATAGGGAAAGTTTCCTGAAGTAGGACACACAAAGTACTACCATAAAAAATATGGATTAATTGGACTTAGTTAAGAACTCTTGTTCATCAAAATATACCATTAAAAAGGTTAAAATGCAATCCACAAAATGAAAGAAGATATTTGTAATATATATTAAAGACTCATATTCAGAATTTAAAATAATTACAGATTGATTTTAAAAAAGAATAAGAAGGGTGCCTGGGTGGCTCAGTCAGTTAAACATTTGACTTTGGCTCGAGTCATGAACTCACGGTTCGAGGGTCCAAGACCTGTATCAGGCTGTGTGTTGACAGCTTGGAATCTGGAGCCTGCTTTTGATTCTGTGTCTCTCTCTCTCTGCCTCTCCCCTTCTCAAGCTATCTCTCTCTCTCAAAAATAGATAAACATTAAAATAATAGTAAAAGAATAAAATAAAAAAGAATAAAATAAGTGTTTTGTAAAAAATGGGCAAAGAATTAAACAAGAACTTAGATGTGCAAGATATCCAAATGGCCAACAAACATTTAAAAAAGTGCTCAATCTCATCAGTTATTAAGGAAATATGAACCAAAACAACAATGCAACACCACTACACAACAAATACAAAAACAAAAACAAAACAGTAGCTAAAATTAAAATCATAGAAATATCAAGTATTCAGTGTTGGTGAGAACATAAAACACTTGCTTTGTCATATCTTGGTAGTTTGTTGTGAAAATTAGTGAAATCAATTGTAAAGCTGTTGGCAATATCAAGTAAATGAACCTATGCATTCCCCATGAACCAACAATTCTACTCCTAGAAGTTTATTCAGTAGAAATGTCTACATACCTTTGCAATAGCTCCACACTAAAAATATCCAAAATATGCATTAGCAATAGAATGAATATGTAAACTGTCATATATTATAAAATGAAATACTATACAGCAAAAAAAGTGAGGGAACTACTGTTACATACACCAACACTGATGAATCTTATGCAAGCATAATATTGAATGAAAGAATCAAGACATAAAAGAATACATACCTTATGACTTCAATTTTATAAATTACAAAAGCTAGCAAAGTTAATTCAATACAAGCAAAGCAGAGACTGAATTTACCTTTGGGAAGAGGTGGGGATGTATCCTGGGAGAGAAAATAGTGAGGAGAGAAAACCTGAGGTGCTGGTTTGTGATTCGCTTTGTAAATGTTCATTGAGCATACATTTAAAAAAAAATTTTTTTTTTCAACGTTTATTTATTTTTGGGACAGAGAGAGACAGAGCATGAACGGGGGAGGGGCAGAGAGAGAGGGAGACACAGAACCTGGGCCATCAGCCCAGAGCCTGACGCGGGGCTCGAACTCAGGGACCGCGAGATCGTGACCTGGCCGAAGTCAGACGCTTAACCGACTGCGCCACCCAGGTGCCCCTCATTGAGCATACATTTAAGGATTTGTATATATGTTTGTGCATAATACAAACGTAATACAATAATATTAATACAAATATACAATTAATATATACATTTAATTAATTAATACAAATATACAATTAATACAAATATACAATTAATACAAATAATACAAATATAATATAATAATATTATATTAAACATAACAAAAAAGTTAATATAAAATGGCATTAGCCTTTATCCACATATTTTTGAAAAGTAGTTTATGTTGGTATTTAACTTAGTTTGGGCAATAAAATTTGAGTGATCAATTGCCTTAGATAAGATCAACATAGATGCTCTTTCAGTTTTGCTATAAAACACTTTAGAACATAATTTACTTTGGTTTTGAAATAGTAAAAAAAAATAGGAGAGTCTGTGTGGTCAATTTCTGGTAAAATGATGTATTAACTAAGATAACACAAAAGGCAAAGAGAAAGCAGAAGAAAAAAAAGTATATGCAAAATGAGAGAAGAGTAGAGGAGGAAAAACAAAAAGAAAGCCAGGAAACCAGCAAAGCCTCCTCCTTTGAAAGGAGGAGGTCACTTACTCTGAAATTTATTAAAGTAAACTAAATTTATATTTTTTCTAAATATAGAAAATCGATTTTACTTGGTATATATTTAATTTGCAGAGTTGATATCTTGAATTTAGAAACCAAATATGAATGACAATCTTCTTAGAACTCTGATAACATTATCTGATGTTTTTCTCCCTCTCCCTACAGGGAATAAAAACATCTTTTGGGGGAGTTCATCTTATTGCTGGGTTATATATCTTTCTATTTTTTTTAAATAAGCCAACTTGCAGTTGTAACAAATAGTCAAATATGACAAATGTTTGAATAGTTCCACTGTTGGAAATTACATCATGGCCAAGTTATTTAACTCTGGTAAATGTAGCCTCTCCCAATTATTTTTCCTTAAGCTACTCCCAAACAATTTAATATGCCTGATACAGAGAATAGAGAAAAAAAATCATTTCTTTCTTTTAATCTCTTTAATGTCTAAAGGTATTAAGAACATAATGGAAATTACACGGAAGGATTTTCAAAGACTAACAAAAAAGGGCTAAGTAATCCATGAGTGATCAAAGAGAAAAGTGTATTATTTCCATTAAATTGTGAAAGACAAAAGTTTCAAATCCAATCTGTAGATTTTCTAAAGGAGTCACTGTTTTATTGTTTTCTCGTTAAGGAAAGTTGATGATGGTCACATTGGTATAAAGTAGTATTTCTTGTACAGCGTGGTGAAATAAATTTTCTCTCAAATTCTTAAGTCTTAAACCTAGCAATTTTCTTTTTTTAATGTTTATTTATTTTGAGAGAGAGTGAGAGAGAGAGAGAGATTGCAAGCAGGGGAAGGGCAGAGAGAGGGAGAGAGAGAATTCCAAGCAGGTTCCATGATCAGTGCTGAGCTCCACAAGGGGCTCAGTCTCACAGCCTTGAGATCATGACTTGAACCCAAATCAAGAGTCAGATGTTTGACTGAGCCCCCACAAAGGCCCCTCAAATGTAGCAATTCTTTAATATTCTAGTTAATGTTTATATTACCCAAATAAAACATAAAGGACAGAATAGCTAAAAGGTACGTAAAGGTAAAAAATATTGTGCTTCATAACACTCATTAAACTAAATAAATGGATATTTGTTCCAGTTCAATTCACAGACTGGTTAAACAGCCCACTAATCAGAAATCCCCTTCCATGAAATTTGGCAGTTTCAAAGAAAAACAGAACAGAAAGGATATGTGTTTTCCATCTTATTGGAGGCCAGGTATCCATCTACACACTGCTGGCAAGGCTCCACTCTTTACCCAAGCATGCACAGCTGTAGTTAGAATTTGTGTTTATTCCCTGGAAGATGCTCACAGATTGCCAGACTCTAGCAAGAATAGCAACCTGAAGTAGGATGAAGGATGTAAAGAGCAGAGACAATGTCACTCAGTATCTGATAAGTATAGCTCTCAGGGAAGGCTAAACATATGTCGTATCAGGTGGGTCTCTCCAGGGCTACCATCTGTCATGCAAGAAGGCAGAACAAATTCCTCAACATCATACCATCATGCAGCATGGATTAAGGAATGCTTTACTGAGAAAAGGGAAAACTCACTAGGCCAAGGTCAGGGAGGCAGAGATGCAAGTACTCCAAAGTCACTTCCCACATATTCTCATTATCCCATAGAGATACACACCAGGCCAGGACATCTGCTGGGCACAGTCTGGGTTTCTTTCTGATGCAAGGACCCCTAGCCATCAAGAGGTCTCTCTTCTTATTCTGCAGGCCTGAGAAACTGAACTTGGCAGTAAGGAAATAGACCTCAGGGAACCCAGCTGCCTGGATTGAAGCACCAGCTGTTTCTAGGACTCTCCTGGAGGCTTCAGGCTTGAGGGATATTCTAACATTTCCACTAGGGGAAGAGAGCCACTCCTCAGCACTACCACTTTAACAGGCTGGCTCATTGCCAGCTAAATCCACAAATTCCCAGGGTTACACTGTGATGGTTCAGTTCCTTTACCACAAGGTAGATTTCTACTCTCAGCCTCAATTGATCTTTTTTCTCTCCACCAAAATCCTTTATAATATTGGCAATTTTTTAGTCTTCAAATGATTTGTGTGTTTCCACTCACACAGTAACCTACAACTCAGTGATACTGGTGTTCCAAGACTATTAGTTCAAATCCCATTGAGATCACTAAATGTCCTATGACTTTAAAATGGTCACACTTTTGAAGTTTAGCAGAGAATATATTATTGGATATGGCCACTCTATTCTTTGCATGTATAATCCTGTTTTCCATGTTTACATTGGAATTTCAACTACTCTTGCTTTTAAGTGCATCTATTTTGGCCACACTATTCTTCATGAGTTGAAGAATCTCCCCAAATACATACTCATTTTTCTTTGTATAAACATTTATTTAGTCTGGTCCAGGCACTTTTCTAGCAGCAGAGTACTCAGGGATTGATAGAATATATTGTCTGCTCTCCAGGTAGATCTAGTCTAATGCATGAGGGAAATGTAAGAAAATAAAAACAAGCAGCTAAAGGAGCATTTCCTGTCCCAAACCCCACGTCCTTCTCTAAAGCTATTTTTGGATTATGTAGATGCAGAGAATTGATTATAATTCCTATAAAATAAAGTATCATAAAATATGTTTCCTTTTATTAAGGAAATTTTGTCAGATGTTTATAATTTTCCTCATGTCAATCTTGTATATATTTTGTTGGATTTGCGCTAAAGCATTTCAGCATTTTGCTGCTAATGTAGATGATATTGTATTTTTAATTTAAAATTCCAATTGTCCATTATGGTTCTATTGTAATTAACTTGGCATGTTAACCTTTTGTTCCTGAAAATTTCCTATAAGCACTTCTTAGTTCCTGGAAGGTTTGTTTCGTCAATTTTGCATGTTTCTACATAGACCATCATGTCATTTATGGACACAGTTTTATTTCTTCCTTCCCAATCTATATACTCTTTTCTTCTTTCCTTCCTTCCTTCTTTTTCTTTCTTTCTTTCTCTCTCTTTCTTTCTTTTCTTTCTTTCTTTCTACCTTCCTTTCTTCCTTTCTTCCTTTCCTTCTTTCTTTCTTTTGTCTTACTGTATTAGGAGTTCTGGTACAATCTTGAATAAGAGTGGTGATAGAGAACATCTGCTTTGTTCCTAATTTTAGAGGAAAAGTATTTAATTTCTAACCATTAAGTATGATGCTAAGCTATAGGGTTTTGTAAACATTTTTTTTATCAAGTTGGGAAAGTTATTATCCATTCTTAGCTTGCTGAGAGTTTTTATTATGTATGAGCAGGCATTGGTTTTAATCAAATTTTTATATTTATTAATATAATTATATGTTTTTTTCTTTAGCCTGTTGATATGATGAATTATATTATTTTTTGTGTCTTGAACCAACTGTACCATGAATAAGTAGCAATTGATTATAATTCTTTTTATACATTGCTGGATTTGATATTCTAAAATTTTGTTGAAGAATTTTCCAGTATTCAGAATATTGGTCTGTAATGTTCCTTTCTTGGAATGCCTTTGCTTTTGTTTGTTTGTTTGTTTTTATTATTATTATTATTTATTTATTTAGGGTAATACCCATCTCCTGGTATGAATTAGGAAATGTTCCTTTTCTTCTATTTTCTGGGAGAAATTGTAGAAAACCACTACCATCTCTTACTTAAATATTTGGTAGAATGTATCAATGAAAACTTTGCATGCTTTCTCTGGGGAGGAGTATTAATCATTGAGTCAATCTCTTTAATAGATATAGGCCAATTAGACTAATTCTCTTGTGAGAAACAGTTTGTGTCCTTGGCACACAAACTTCTGGTAAATCGTGTTTTATAGAAATTGGTGTATTTAATTTAAATTATCAAATTTAGGGGCATCGAATTATTTGCAACATTATTTTAGAATCCTTTTAATGGACACAAGATGAGTAGTGATAATTCCAATTTCCAATATTAATAATTTGTGCTCTCTCTCTTTTTCTTAGCTATCCTGACTAGCAGTTTATCAATTCTATTTTATTTCCACAGAACCAGCTTTTGGTTGCATTGATTTCTCTATTGATTTGCTTTGAATGTCCTTTCTGTTCTAATTTTTATTATTTCCTTTATTCTACATGTTTCAGTCTTACGTTGCTCTTCATTCTCTAGTTTCCCAAGGTGGAAGTGTGTTGTTTATTTTTTTTTAATGTTTATTTATTTTGAGAGAGAGAGAGAGAGAGAGAGAGAGAGAGAGAGAGAACTCTAGCAGGGAAGGGGCAAAGAGAGAGGGTCACACAAAATCTGAAGCAGGCTCCAGGCTCTCAGCTGTCAGTACAGAGCCTGATGTGGGTCTCGAGCTAATGAGCAGTGAGATCATGACCTGAACCTAAGTCAGACACTCAACTGACTGAGCCACCCAGGCACCCCAGAAGTGTGTTGTTTAATCTCTAAATATTTTCAGATATTTTAGTTATCTTTCTGTATACCTTTCTACCTTAATTCACTGTGGTCTGAGAGAAAACTTGGTATGATTTCTATTTTTTAAATTTTTTGAGTTGTGCTTTATGACTCAGAATGTGGTCTATCTTAGTGAATTGTCTATATAAATTGAGAAGAATGTGTATTCTGCTGTTATTGAATGATATATTCAATAAATGTCAATTACATCTAGTTGATTGATGGTGCTATTTATTTCAGCTATATCATTACTGATTTTCTGCCTGCTGGATCTGTCAATTATTGACAGAGGTGTGTTGAAATCTCCAAACTGTAAGAGTGGATTTGTCTATTTCTCCTTGCAGTTTTATCAGTTTTTGCCCCACCTAGTTTGATACTCTGTCATTAGGTGCATACATGTTAAGGATTGTTATGTCTTCTTGGAGAATTTGTCCCTTTATCATTATGGAATGCTCCCCCTTTTTACTGATATTTATCTTGTTCTGGATTGTGCTTTTTTCTGATATTAATATAGCTACTCTAGCTTTCTTTTGATTAATATTGGTATGTGATAGCTTTCTGTATTTGTTTACTTTTAATCTATATGTGCCTTTACATTTGAAGTGGGTTTCTTGTAGACAACATATAGTTGGGGTTGGACTTTTATATCCACTTTGCCAGTCTTTGTCTTTTAACTGGTGTATTTATCCCATTCATATTTAAAGTGATTATGAATATGATTGGATTAATGTCTTCCATGCTTGTAACTGTTTTTTATTTGTTGAACATAGTATTTATTCCTTTAAAAAACAATTTTCCTCTTCTTTTATGTCTTCTCTTGTTTTAATTGAGTGTTTTATATGCTTTGATTTTCTTTCCTTTCAGAGAATTATCAAAAACAACTTTAAAAATTTATGATGGCTTACCTAAACTTTTCAATATACCATTAGAATTAGTCTACATCTATTTTCAAATAATTCTATACAGCTTCATGGGTAGTACAGGAGCCTTACAGGAAAGTATCCCAAATCCTTCCCTCAAATCCCTTTTAACATAATTTATTTCACATATCCATCTACTGTAAACATCCAATAGTTAGTAGTAGTAGTAGTTGTTATTACTACTTGAACAGGGAATCAACAAAGAACAAGAAAAACTAAAAATATTTAATTTTACCTTAAATTATTCCTTCTTTGGTGCTCTTCCTTTCTTTATTTAGATAAAAGTTTATTTTACAGTTCCTGCAAGGCTTATCTGCTGGTGATAAATTCCCTCAGTTTTTTGTCTGAGAAAATCTCTCTTTCTCCTTTACTTTTGAAGGATAATTTCACAGGGCATAGATTTTTTTTTCTGTAAACATTTTAAATGTATTTCACTGAGCTCCCCCTCTAGATGAAATGATTTCAGATGAGAAGTCCAACATAATTATTACTCTTTTTCCTAAATTGGAAACTTGAGTGAAACAGGAGATTTTTGTTTTTCCTGCGGTCTTTACCATGAAAATTTGGTAGATTTCCTGGGGGCAAAATATATGTAAGTATGGGGACCCTCTAACACCGAGCCCCATCAGTTCTTAGCTCTCAAGCCAGTTCACACTCAGCCTTAAAAAATTCTTTAAAGTGACCATATGAGTGTCCCTAATACCTGCTTGATCCAGTGGCTTCTGGGTTGGGTAAACTGAGCTCAGATTTATTCTTTTTATCCATTTTTTCTCCAGCTTTTGGATGGATGTTTGCCATATGATTGCAAATCTCTGATGTATCTAGGAAAAGATATTGATTTTTAGTTGTTCAATTATTTTTCTTCCTGAGAGTATAAGAATTATGACTCCCAAGTTCTTTACCTGTTGGAACTAAGCTGTGTTTTAGAATCTGTCCACCTGGGGTCAGTTTTAGTAAATTATATTTTCTTTGAAAATTATTTAAGCCACTTCGATATCCTGTATCAAACTAGATTTTGTTAAGCAAAGTAAACTATTTTTTAAAAGTTTCTTCTCTATTTGTACTTACTGCATCCCTGTCATTTATTATTTTGTGCCTGTGTATTTTACCTGATTTTTTCCTCTTACCAAGTTAGTGTTTTAATTAGTTTATTGTTTCTTTGAGAAATAGTTCTTTGGTTTATTTGTGCATTTTACTTTAGTTCATTTTTGCATCTTCCTTAAAATTGTTTTAATTATTTTTCTAAAATCTAAAATGAAATGCTAAATTCTTTTATTTTCATTACTTGGTTTTTAAACATGAGTGTTTAAGAAATGATTTTTCCTCCGAGCATTGTCTTATCTGACTTATTGCATACTTCAATGTGTAGCATTCCAATTACTTTCTTAATTGCCTTCTGTATATTATATAATTTTTATTTGTATTTCCTCTTTGGCCAAATATTTATTGAAGAGATCTTTTTAAAATTTCTTTTTGTGAAGAAAAATTATCTCTCTCTTTCTTTTTCTAGTTTTATTGTACTATGGTCACATTATACTATATTATTTAAATTATTTTACTTTTGTCCTAGTTTTCTATGACAATATAAGTAAAATGTATATGTGTATGTTGGTGATATGAAGGTTTTTTTTATGTTTTTAATGGACATATTTACATTATTAGGGATACCTTATAAATTATGTCATTTTTATGTTATGTAGCTTTTCACGTGAACTAAAAGAGATGAATTGTGTTTCTGCCTATTGCTTTTTTTCTTCTATGGCTGTAAATATAGTAAGATAGTGTTGTTTTATGTAAGGTGAAATTTTTCATAAAACATATTTCCCTTCTAAACAAAGAATAGATAATAAATAATAAATCATATTTCTAAGTCTAAATAGATCTCTTTTATGTAAATGACCTAGCAGTGCAAAATGACTATAACAAATATGCCAGTGTTTGTTAGCCTTGTTGCCAAACCTATTGATTTCACTATCTGGTATCAACAAGACAAACAAAACCATGACACCAGTGTTATATTTGGTTCTGTACTTATGTGAACTTAATGTGTTCCTACAATCAACTTTGATTAGAGCTGGAAGTGATGTTACAGCTCTCTAGTAGTCCCACTCATCTCATTTACAACTGAGAGAACCAAGGTCATATAACTAGGTGGTAGTATTGTCAAACTGGTCCAGAAAAGTTCTTACTCCCTGGAGCAGTCTATTTGCATAATAGCTTGGGTTCTAGCCAAGTTGTAGCATACCAGCCCCTTTCATCCCTGTTTCAGAAAATAGATTCTA